TACCGTAATACCTGACTTAGAAAACCATGCAATACTAAGTCAATTTCAGTAAAATCATGTTTTTCAAAATCATATGCAATCTTATCTAGGTAGTATTGCACCCCTTCACTAAAAATGACATATCATTGCATGCAATAGTATATGAAATTCAATACAGATTATAAATTCAAAGTATTTATTATTAGTATTACATTTGATTAACAATTAATTAATATTCAATTCAGAGAAATCTTCTGCAAAATCTATTACTTCTTCGCATGTCTACACTCATATCAATGTTTATAACTTCATTTATGTCTGCATTTGCAGACAATTCAAAATTTTGAGACATTTTATTCTCATTAACAGGGCAATGAAATTCGCATATTTGCATATATTTAGCGGTTCATAGTATCAGTGCGAGTGTCCGGATGTCCATCGATCACGTACTGAAGGTCACTTTAGCCGAGTTTATAAATGCATATAAACGCATATTTCATGGGTTACCGCATATTTTGAATATAACTGCATTTTAAGCGCATATTTGAGCAAATTTTTTAAAAATGTATGCATTTTTTATATTTCTCCTTAAATTGTTTCAATTTTAAATTAAATTTTATTTAAAATTTAACTTAAAAAACACTATAAATGTGAATTAAGTTACATAAAGTGGTATAACAATATATAAAAAATGTATGCATTTTTTATATTTCTCCCTAAATTGTTTCAATTTTAAATTAAATTTTATTTAAAATTTAACTTAAAAAACACTATAAATGTGAATTAAGTTACATAAAGTGGTATAACAATATATTGAGCAAATTTCTAATGTAAATTAACTAAAAACTTGTGAAATAATATTTGTTCTAATGTTTGTGAAGTTGCAACAATGGTTAAAATTAAAGCATATTTAGGCATAAACCTCAAACTATACTTTAAATATTCCATATTTTATTGAATAACTCTATTATTAATATATTAACTGCTGAATTGGGTTTATATATTAATATTTTGTCGAATAATAAATGCATATTTAAGCGCATATTTTGGACATTTTTAAACGCATATTATATGGCATATTTGACTGTTCATAAATGCATATATCTCATTGCTCTGCTCATTAAACACAATGTTTGACAGGAAATGGATATTCAATCGTTAAGCCAACGTTTTTTAGATAAAACTACTTTTAAAACAAATTTACTGTTTTTTAAAAAGCACACAATGCATGCAATAGTATGTCATTTTCAATAAAAAGTACAATTACCCTAAAATAGAGTGCAATCTTACCTAGATAGTATTGCACCCCTTATTCTGATATTGACTTAGTATTGCATGGTTTCCTAAGACAGGTATTACGGTATTTGTATTCTCACAGTCAGTATAATTATTATTAGATTTGATTAAATATAACTCAAATTATGTCAATGATTGCTACAAAATATTGAGTACTTATAAATAAAATAAATTTTACAAACTTGTACAAATGTAATAAATAATTTATTTGTATAAATAAATGTAATTTTATTTATAAATTAACTTTAAATTGCTATTAAAGGGGCACTGAATGCAGTGTTAATAAAAATCGGACGTAAGTTATTGACAATGTTTATAAACGATCAGTTGTTATGCAATAAAAGTTGTAAATAAATAATTTTGTACACATTTTATATAATTTTAATTAATAAATAGTATATAAATTACATTTTAATTATAATAAACAGATAAATAAATATAAGTTTTAATTAATAAATGAAGTGATTATAAGTAATGTCCCGTTGACTCACTTTCTGACCGTTTGTCTCCACAACACGTGTCTCTCATTTACGCCATGTGTTCGCCGGCGGACGACAGGTATGTGTGGCCACAGAGTCTTACCCCTAACCCCAGTACTGTCCCCTACGCTTCACACCACCCTCTATAGCCTTCTGGATCTAATTTGAGTGACAAATGTCTGTGTCTTTGCAGCCAATCGTTGACTTACGAGTCTATCATTGAGTCGTTTGTCCGCCAAAAGTCATTCAAATGCCATTACGATGGATGCGACAAATTGTTTGTCACTCAAAGCCGATTGGATTCGCATATAAGCCGAAGACATGCCATCGAAGGTAGCGGACAGTCCGGGGATCCGATCGACAGATCATCTCATGTCAGAAACCAATCATTGGGTGAAGCACTCAATGGTATACAACAGACACCAGTCATCAGTACTACTGACACTACACCGCCGCTGACAATAACGACAATCACTACTACTTCCAGTGCTGACAGACAATCGGTGGACAACACTTGCGATACGTATGTATTTTGTATGCACTTTATAACATGGTATAATTATTTTTACCGTCATTTATGATCACTCAGTACTTCCCCCGATGGCCACCAACTGAGACCAACAATCAATACCACTAGTCATACATTCCGATCGATAACAAGCACTTCCGATACCAAAGATCAGTCCCAGAGCTCAACAATCAGTACAACATTCCCTTCATTTCCACACATAATAACCACAACCACTGCTACTTCCAGTGCCGACAGACAATCGGTGGACAATAAGTATGTGTTTGTGTATAAGTTTTAAGACATTATGAATTTTAAACTCGTTTGTAAACACACAGCAGTTCTTCAGCCGATATCGAAGACCAATCGTTGACGACATTATTTGATGTCATTTATCAGACTTTAAACGCGACAACAGTTGTGCCATCACTGCCACAAACAGTGACCACTTCCAGCGCCGACAGCCATTTGGTGGACATTACTAGCGATAAGTAAGTGTTTTTATCTGTATTTTAAGACATTTTAAGTAATTTTTAACCACTTTTTTATTCAACACTCAAGTGATTCGGATTCTGATATCGAACTCATTGGTAGAGTTCCGGCGCCCAAACGGCCCGCACGTTACCGATCGGCCGACGATAAGCCATTGCTCATAGACTCCATACCTCTGGTGCCGGAATTAGTCAACAAGTATTGTCACAACTCTTATAGTATTTATCGTATATTTCATAAACGTGTTTATGTCTAACAGAGCGCCCGTAGCAGTCATAACGTTGACGGGCGTTGGCGATGAGCTAATCCGTGACATCGGGCCCGGCATACGGGTGGCCAACAAGCGTAAGGCATCCGTAGATCCACAACTGGCCGTTAAAACTGCCAGAACAACAGCACCCGACCTGATCTCATCGCACCCCTGCCCTTACGTTGGCTGCTGCCAGACATTTAACACCCAATCATTACTGTCCACACATATGCTGTCCGTCCACAACGAGCACTGGAGTGCCGATCAACGCTTTCCGTGCGGTAAATGTCACCTCAAGTATAGCACAGGACTCGCCCTCGACAGCCATCAAGAGTTGGCGCACCCGATGCCCACGTCCACCACCACTGAGAAACCCTCACCAGACCTGATCCCGTGTCCATACATTGTGTGTCGGCTAACATTCCAATCGCAATCATTACTGTCCACTCATATACAGTCCGTCCACTCGAAGGAGCGGTGGTCGGCCGGTCAGCCGGCGCCCTTGCGGTGCCATATATGCCAACTCAAGTTCACGACACTACTGACCCTCACTCGGCACCAGGCGTCGGCCCACCAGACGCCACTCCAGCTCAATGTGGCCGACAATAATAACAGTGGCTTCACGTGTGAGAAATGTCATAAACATTTCAATAGGATTGTGCCCTTTATGGACCACCAGCTCAAAGAGCACCCGCCGGTGCGACCACTGCCGGTCAAACCGAAGCCCAGCCCCGGCCGACACATACCCTGTGACGCGTGTGGCAAATGTTTTGGCTCCGACTCCGCCCTACAGATGCATAAAACGGCTAAAAATCATTGAATTAATGATTAAACCGAGAACTTGTTATTATTAGTATTATTTATAAATACTATAAGAATATTCATTAAACTTTTAAAACTTGTAAAAAATAATTTATTTGTATAAATAAATGTTATTTTAATTATAAATTAACTCCTAATTGCTATTAAGGGGGCACTAAATGCAGTGTTAATAAAAATCGGACGTAATTTATAGACAATGTTTATATGCATCAGTTGTTATGCAATAAAAGTTGTAAATAAATATTTTTGTACACAATTTTAATAATTTTAATTAATTAATAGTTATAGTTAGTAAATAGTTAATTAATTATAATAAAATAAATATAAGTTTTAATTAATAAATGAAGTGATTATAAGTGATGTCCCGTTGACTCACTTTCTGGCCGTTTGTCTCCACAACACGTGTCTCTTATTTACGCCATGTGTTCGCCGGCGGACGACAGGTATGTGTGGCCACAGAGTCCTACCCTAACCCACAGTACTGCCCCCTATGCTCCACACCACCCCCTATAGCCCTCTGGATCTGATTTGAGTGACAAATGTCTGTTTCTTTGCAGCCAAGCGTTGACTTATGAGTCGATATTTGAGTCGTTTGTCCGCCAAAAGACATTCAAATGCCATTACGACGGATGCGACAAAGGGTTCGCCACTCAAAGCCGATTGGATTCGCATATAAGCAAAAGACATGCCATCGATGGCAGCGCACAGTCCGAAGAACCGATCGGCGGATCATCTCATGTCAGAAACCAGTCATTAAGTGCAACAGTGAGACAATCGGTGGACAACACTTGCGATACGTATGTATTTTGTGTGCATTTTAAGTCATGCGGTCTAATAATTTCTGTCATTTATGATCACACAGTACTTCACCCGATGGCCACCAACTGAGGCCAACAATCACTACCACTAGTCATACATTCCCATCGATAACAAGCACTTCCGATACCAAACATGAGCCTCAGATCTCAACAATCAGTACAACATTCCCTTCATTTCCAGACATAATAACCACAACCACTACTACTTCCAGTGCCGACAGACAATCGGCAGACATTAAGTACAATAAGTATGTCTTTGAGTCTAAGTTTTAAGACATTATGTAATTTTAAACGTATTTTGTAAACACACAGCAGTTCTTCAGCCGATATCAGAGGCCAACCGTTGACGACATCACTTGATGTCATTTATCAGACTTCAAACGCGACAACAGTGACCACTTCCAGCGCCGACAGCCAATTGGAGGACATTACTAGCGATAAGTATGTGTTTTTCCCTGTATTTTAAGACATTTTAAGTAATTTTTAACCACTTTTTTATTCAATACTCAAGTGATTCGGATTCTGATATCGAACTCATTGGTAGAGTTCCGGCGCCCAAACGGCCCGCACGTAACCGATCGCCCGTTGATATCAAGCCATCGCTCATAGACTCCATACCTCTGGTGCCGGAAATAATCAACAAGTATTGTCACAACTCTTATAGTATTTATCGTATATTTTATAAACGTGTTTATGTCTAACAGAGCGCCCGAAGCGGTAATAACGCTGACCGGCGCTGGCAATGAGCTAATCCGTGACATCGCGCCCGGCATACGGGTGGTCAAGAAGCGTAAGGCACCCATAGATCCACGACTGGCCCCTAAAACTACCAGAAAAACTGCAACCGACCTGATCCCATGGCACCTGTGCCCATACATGGGCTGCCTCCAGACATTTAAGACCAAAACATTACTGTCCACTCATCAAGCGTTGGCGCACCTGAAGCCCACGCCCACCACCGCTGAGAAACCCTCACCAGACCTGATCCCGTGTCCATACATTGTCTGTCGGGAGAGATTCAACTCGCAATCATCAGTGACTACTCATCTACAGTGCGCCCACTCGACACATCGGTGGTCGGCCGGTCAGCCGGCGGCCTTGTGGTGCCATATGTGCGGACTCAATTATACGACACTACTGGCCCTCAATCGGCACCAGGCGTCGGCGCACCCGCCGGGGTCTACCCCTGTGCCCACCCCTAAGCACATAGTGGATGAGTACTACCACTGCCCGTACGTCGGGTGTAACGAGAACTATAGGACCCGGTTATTGGTGTTCATTCACATGCAGAACACCCACTCGTACGGCACTATCAACGACTGGTCGGCCTGTGATCTCCCAGCGGCCACTTATCTGTGCGATAAATGCGATCTTAAGTACCGGACATTACTGCACATTCGCCTACACCGGGCGTTGGCCCACCCGACGGCACCCGAGCTCAATGTGGCCAACAATAACAGCGGTGGCTTCGCGTGCGAGAAGTGCCACAAGAGTTTCAATAGGATTGTGCCGTTTATGGCCCACGAGTGCAACGACTACCCGCCAAAAGCTAAACCCAAACCCACGCCAAACCTCGGCCGACACATACCCTGTGACGCGTGCGGCAAACTGTTTGGCTCCGACTCCGCCCTACAAAACCATAAAAAGGATAAAAAGCATTGAATTATTGGATTACTTAATGATTGGGTTATATTTGTTAATGATTCATTTATTTATTTGCATTTAATTTACTTAATTATAACGTAAAAAATCGCTTTAATTTGTTTTTTGTTTAAACTCATTGATTACAATAAACATACTTTTATATAAATTTAAATTACATTTTAAACAAACGTTTTAATTGTGAAAAGGGTTTCATGGTTTCAACCAATTCTAACATCAATTGGGATCCATTTGTGTTGATAGCCATGGCAACTGTCTATTTAGTGCTAGGTTATTACTTATTATAATCTATGGTTCTATTATAAGTGTTGGAATGTATTCGTTTAGATTTAGACTTATTAAACAATTATCAGCGTAACATGATAGATTTAAATAGTTATTTATAAAATGCTATTTCAATTAAGTGTATAAATACAATGACATTAACATAATTCAATTGTCCGGCCGTTAAGTCCAATGAAACTCCTGTTTGTGTGCATTCAATAGCGATAAACTGCTAAACTCTGTGCGACAGCCGTCGTAATCGCACGGGTAGTTCAGGTGTAGGCGTTCCCTATAGTCGCGGTCGCAGTGTTGGACACTCGGGTCGCGTAGGTCTACATCGCAGGCGGGGGCGCCAAAAAGTGGCGCACATTTATGGGCCGTAAGCGCCCGCAGGGTTAGGAACCGGGCGTCGCAGTCGCGGCACTGAATGAGTTCACCGTCACATTCGTCGGGTGGCGGCGAGTGTCCGCTCCGGGATGTGCTGCCGGCGATTGGCTTACTATCCACAGTACGGCTCTCTGTCGGTTTGCCGGCACTTTCCGGTCTCGGTAATATAGCCCGTCGCCCGCGTCGGGTCGGTCTTCGTCGGCCGTCTCGGTAAGTGTTGGCCACCGATGACTGACTATTAAGCGTACGGCTGTCTATGCGGTGACTTTCAAACAGCCGTAAGTGTCGTTCCAATAGGGCTTTACTGGCGTACGGGTTGGCGCAGCCCTCGTAACGGCACCGATAGGTGAGGGGTAGGCAATGGTTGGTGGCCTTCGTATCGGTCGTTGAGACTGCGGACGTGGTCTGAGATCGACTGGTGGTACCGGTGCTGACATTTAGACTACTATCCGTATGGCCAGCGATGCGATGACTTTTAAACTCAATTAAGTGCAGATTCAACAGGTATTTAGTGGCGAATATGTTGGCGCAGCCGTCGTATCGGCACCGGTAGGTCAGCGGTTGGTCGCAATGGGCGTACAGTTTGTGGTGTTTGAGATTGTATTCGTAGCGAAACGTTTTGGTACATTTGTCGCACCTGAACACCGGCTTTGCGGCCACCGGTGTTGTGCTATCGGTGGCGGCGGTGGTGGGGGTCGTAATGGAAACAGTGTCGGTCGCCGTCGCTGCCGTACCCGTACTGGCCTTCGGCACTGTCGACGTGGCCGGCGATCGTCTGGCGGTACGGGTGCTGATCTTTAGCCTACTATTGAGAGTACGGCTGTCTATGCGGTGCTCTATTAAGTGTAGATGTAATAAGTATTTAGTGCCGTAAGCGTTGTCGCAGTCGCGGTAACGGCACCGGTAGGGCAGTGCCAGGCTATGAGCGGACAGTTTGTGTTGTATTAGATTGTATTCGTAGCGAAACCTTTTGGCACATTTGTCGCACCTGAACACCGGCTTTGCGGCCACCGGTGCTGTGCTATTAGCGGCCGCAGTGGTCGGTTCGGAAGCACTGGTCGCCGCACTTGTACTCGCTTTCGGAACTAATGATGTGAATGGAGATCGAGTGCTAGTCTTCGGGACTATAGGTGCGGCTAAAGATCGGGTGGCACTTGTGTCGGGCGCCCGTCTATGAACAGTGAGTTTGTGTTGTTTGAGATTACGTTCCCAATGGAAACGTTTGGGACATTTGTCGCACTTGAAAGCCGGCGTCGTATGTGGCGATCGGTCCGTACAGTCGGTAGTTGTCATAGACGGGCCGGTGCTGGCAGTAGTGGTCACCGGTTGTACGGGTAGCGGATCAGTTGCGGTCAACACCGGCCAGTCGTTAAGGAAAGTGCCGGTCGTGTTCTCGGGCACCCGTATGTCATTCGTAGTGTCGAGCGCTGGAACCGTTTCGCTGATCTTTGAGTCGGTAAGGGTTACGCCACCCGTTGTGAGCTGAGAGCGAGTAGTGGTCACAGATATAGTGGTATCAATTGAAACGGTTGGCAGTTCTGGAGCCGATGTCGCCAACTGGTCGTGCTTTTGATGGACAGCCAACTTATGCTTTTGTAGTATCTCTTCGGTGGCAAACATTCCGAAACAGTCCTTATAATCGCATTCGTATTGACATATCTTTAGCGTTGGTTTGGGAACCGATTGGTCGACAATAGGCTCGGAATGGAGACGAAGTTTGTGCAGATTTAGCAGCTTTTTAGTGACAAAACTTCGTCCACATTCTTTGGCATCGCATTTGTAATAATCACCGGAATGTTTGTCCTCATTGTGGCCGTCGGGCGCCGACCGACTCCCGCGGAAGGCCAACGGAACGGTCACTTCAAGACTATCAGCCTTTTGGCGGCCGTTCCGCACGTGATAGTGATCGTCACGTTTATGGGCGTAGAGTTGCGTTTCGCAGCCGAAACTCTGGCCACAGTCGGCCCGATCGCAGACAAACGGCAGTTGTTTCCCATGTGCTTCACGGATGTGCTCTTTGATGGCCGACCTGTGATCGAAATACTGGTCACACCCGCTGTACTCGCACTCGTAGCGCACGCGCAGATCGTGCTGCCGGCGCTGATGGTGTACGTAATCAAACGCCCGGTCATACTGTTTGCCGCACCGCTTGTCAAGTGGTCGGCGCGGGTCGTCGTAATCACACCGGTATGGGTGGCGCTCGCCGTGAATGACATACTGGTGTTCATTGTATTCATACCGGTTGTGGCCAAATGGCTGCCGGCATTCGCGGCACTCGTACTCCCGCTCACTATCGGCCACAGTCTCGTCGTCTATCAGTTCTCCATCACTCAAAGTACTGCTTCTTCCTCTTCTTGTGCGCCGTTCACTCGTCGACGACACCGTCGGCAACGGCTCCGGGAGTTGACTACTGGCTGAGTGAGCGCTGCCATCGCGTGACGTCAAACTCCGAGAGCGACGGGTGGTGTCCGTCGCGGTAGAGGTGGACGCCGTCGGCGGCGATCGGCCGACTGTTTTCAAAGGACTAGTAGTTTTAGATGCCATGCGTTTAGACACGTCTCGCAGTAAACCGTCGAATGGGGTTAAAGACTGGTCACTATTATCGTCGGAATCGCTATCGATGTCCGAATCGGTGAAATCAACGCCGCGTTTGGCGCGAAACGCTTCCCGTAATCGCTTTTTGCGGCGCCGGTAGTACTCGAGCGTCAAGTGTCGCTCCCTTTGCGGACCGATCGTCGCCGGAACCGACTCTTCGGCCACTTTTTTGCCACTATTTCTGCAATATTTATAAACAAATTAATTAACAATCAATGCAATCGTATGTGTAATAACATACTTGCGACCAGAGTTGGGCGTAGGGTTACTGTCTGTGCTTGAAATGGATGAAAATGATTGGTCAGTGTTATCCACCGGTGCCGTCAAATGTGCGCTAAACTCTTGACCACTGTTTACACCCATCTCTTGCCTGACAATCACTTCTTCGATAGTATTTGTGACACTTTTTCTGTTTATAAAATCAAATAATCAAAAAATAATTTATGTTTTAATTAACAAATAAAAACATTAATTTTACTTATGATTAGTTGTGGCTATTGTCTGGCTATCGGTGTCTGAAATGACGGCACCGATAAGTGTTGTGCCAACACATGACTGTTCATCTCTATTAGCGTTTGTATTGTTATTCACTATCAGTGGCGGTATTTGAGCGACAATTGGTTCAACACTAGCCGTCTCTTCGGTTTGAGTGCTTAAAGTGGTGGCTAATGACTGGTCAGACACTGTGTGTAGACTCGGATCTATTAGCAGAGGCTTAACATCAATCAGTGTTTCGTCGGACATATCATTGTTCAACTGTTTGATGACTCGTTGGCCCGCAATATGTGATACACTATCACCCGGTGCTGAACCGGCATTATTAGAGGTCATATCGGGAGCTGAGTTGTCCGCAATTGGTTTGATATCGGGTTTGATATCCGATTTGATATCAAGTTTGTTATCAGGTTTTACATCAGGTTTGATATCGAGTGCTATAACACTGTTTAAGACAAGCAATCATTAAATATCATAAACAATCAGTTAAATGACTGTCAGATAATCGGATCAATAGTCATACGTATGATCTTCAGCGGCGATCAATGGCTTAACGTCGTGGTCATCGGCAGCCGACGCGGTGTTGGCGCCAATCAGATCGGACACCCGGTCCACCAATGAGTCAAAATTTTTGTAAAACTCTTCGTCGGGAAGCGGGTCGTCGGCCGGCGGGTCAGCGCCGCCGCCGTCGGGCGGGTCTAACAAATCACTGCTAAATCACGCAAAACAAAGTCAGTGTCAAAAGAGCTATAATTGCCAGCAATGTGTGACACATACCTGTCATCGATGTCCGATATTTCCATATCCGAGTGAACCGGTGTTATCGTAGGGCTGGTGTCGGCCGACGCCCCGGACAGCCGTCTCACTCTATTGGGTACGATGTGTGCCATCGCCAGCGCCCGTATGGCTGTGTCTACGGCTGTGGCGATGGGCGGTAACCGATGTAATTGCCACAAACCATTGGCCAACCCATTGGGCACAACGACGGCCTCCAGCGGCGGTGATTCACTTGACTGCCTGTCAATTGGCGCGACGCCCGTCGGCTGAGCGATAGTCTCGGCCACGATCTCAATATCGCTGTCCGACTCTCTGTGTGTAAAACATATCTGGCGTTCAAAAAACAATAACACAATAAAACGGGCGCTAAAATCACGTACGAGTCGGCAGTTATAGCCATCGAAGTCGTTGCCGCTGATGTCGGCGGTGGCGGAACTGTTGACGTAACACATGGACTATCGTCGGCTATAATCTCTACATCG